GTGATGCTGATGATGATGACGATGACGATGATGATGATGATGATGATGATGATGATGATGATGATGATGATGTTGAGGATGATGATGATGATGATGATGATGATGATGATGATGATGATGATGATGATGCTGAGGATGATGATGGTGAGGATGATGATGATGATGGTGGTGTTGATTATATTTATGATGACGATAATGATGATGATGATGATGATGATGATGATGATGATGATGATGATGATGGTTAATGATGATGATGATGATGATGATGATGATGATGATGATGATGATGATGATCGATGATGATGATGATGATGATGATGATGATGATGATGATGATGATGATGATGCTGAGGATGATGATGGTGAGGATGATGATGATGATGGTGGTGTTGATTATATTTATGATAATACTGAGGTTGATGATGATGATGATGATGATGATGATGATGATGATGCTGACGGTGACGTCAGTAATAATAATAGTAGTAATATTAGTCGTAATATTAGCAGTATATGTTGACGATGATGATGATGAATATGATGATGATGATGATAATGATGATGAATGGAGATGCCGCAGGATAATCTTACTAAAATAGTAAAAAATAGTGATAATACTAGCAAGCAGAAGGAGAATAAGAAGGAGAAAAAGAAAACTCGAGATGGCAACGAGGAAAACTGAGAAGAATTAGAATAGTACTAATAAAAATCACAGTAATACTAACAAGATGAAAGGAGACCAGATGAATCCTAGGGAGGGTGGACACTAAGAGGATGAAGCATAGCAATAAGGTTAGTCTACCAACTTAGATATCCCTAGTCCTGTGGTTAGTTTCAGTTTTATTACCTTTACTTTACTTTTAGGCTAGCTTGATTTTTAGCTTAGTGAGATACCACCAAAGTTAGATCAATAACCACTTAAATAACCACTATATACTGAACTAACTAAACTAAGCCAAACCTAACAAAACTAACTAAACTAAAAGAAAACTAGACGACACTCGAACTAAAATTATACTAATAAAGTAAATGATAAACTAAGGACTAAACTAAACTACTAATACCACCGGTCCTTTAAAGTAGATTTCTGGAGCTAGGGGCATCTAAGGTGATAGACTAACTTTCTTGTTACCGAAGGAAGGTAAGAAGCATAAACATGGTGAAGGTAAAAACGGGGGAAAGTAGGAGGAGGCCACGACCTCTCT